GCCTCCGTTGATCGACTTGGAGTTGGAGAAGGTCCCACCTCATGCACCCGAGACATCTTTGGGACCCGCCCCTACGACAACTGTTGCTTCTTCGGGGAGCGAGGGAACAGTTCAGAGTATCCTGACCCCGCAATGCAGCCTCCATAAGAGCAAAGAAGTGCGCCTCCGTTGATCGACTTGGAGTTGGAGAAGGTCCCACCTCATGCACCCGAGACATCTTTGGGACCCGCCCCTACGACAACCGTTGTTTCTTCGGGGAGCGAAGGGTCAGTTCGGAGTATCCTGACCCCGCAATATAGCCTTCAAAAGAGCAAAGAAGTTGTATACTCTGAGGAGGTAGCTAGTTGGGCTGAACTAACGCCTGCTCAGCTCGAAGCTCGGGCCGCTACCCACTGCATGGTGGTAAGTCTTGTTTTACTCCGATTTTTTTTTTTTGTATCTATAGCCTTGGTGGTACTAACTTATATTCTTGGTAGGTGAACTCCGCTGTCCACGCCTTGACCTACCAATCTGAGTAGCACTTAAAGCGGGCTCTAGTTGTTGTGAGTTCGTCTCGTGAGGCTCATACTGAACTAAACTTAGCTCGTGGCAAGATCCATCACCTGGAGAACAATGTGCGAGCTCAAAAGGAGCTCATCGAGTCACTGATGTCAGAGAAAGCGAATCTGGAGCGTAAGGTGGAGAACCTCGAGGCGGATGTCAAGGAGCGGACTGAAATCTTTCTCCAGTCCACGGAGGAGGCCAAGGTCAAGGTCGTCCAATATTATAAGAGCTCGGAGGAGTTCGAGGGAGAGCTGGTCGAGGCTGGGGCGGAGGGCTACCGCAAAGGCTTCAAGTTCGGTAGGTGACTGATCAAGCGTGAATTCCCGCAGCTCGATGTGAGTGCCATCACTACCTCGCAAATCACAAAGGAGGTAGCCCTTGAAGGTGTTGAAGACCCGAACTCGGAAGCGGAGAGCGACGGTGACGACATTGCAGAGACCAATGCCGATGACAAGGCTGGCTCCTCCGTTGAGGCTTCAAGCAAGAGCAATGAGTGCCCTAAGTAGTTTTTGTATTGTGAGCCTGCGAGCTCAGCTTCTTTTTCTCCTTTCCCCCCTTTTGTAATGAACTCTTTATAATGAAATACATTTTTTGTTAAGTGTTGTGCAATTGATCTTCTGGCCATGGTGATTTTTTTCAAACTGTTGAACTATCGAGCAAGATGACCGAAATAGGGGTTCCTTAGCTGTTACCCCGAACAGTCACTTAGTGCTTAGAGGCAACTTCACAAGGTGTACGCCGAAGTGAGCGACATTGTAGGGTGTATGCCTGACCTGTCTGCGCACTGGTTACCTCGCCTATGTCGAACTGCCTGGTATGCCCGAGCTATCATAGGTGCTCATACCCGAGCTGCCTATACCTTAGGCATTTTTAGAGTACTTTGCTTATGTCGAACTAGCGACTAGGTCTTTGGTGGTGTCGAGGTCTTTTGTTAGATCAGAATTTTAGCCCTTAGGCTGGGGGAGTGACTCATAGTCCACTCTCTTTTAGAGTTCGCTCAGGCTGAGGAGGCGACTGGGTCTTGTATGGTGCTGAGGTTTAGCTCGACACTTTGGCCTTTAGGCTCTAGGAGCGACTCGTGGTCCACTCACTTCTAGAGTTCGCCCATGCCAAGGAGGTGACTGGGTCTTGTATGGTGTTAAGGTTTAGCTTGGCACTTTGGCCCTTAGGTTCTAGGAGCGACTTGTGGTCCACTCACTTCTGGAGTTCGCCCATGCCAAGGAGGCGACTGAGTCTTGTATGGTGTCGAGGTTTAGCTCGGCACTTTGGCCCTTAGGCTCTAGAAGCGACTCATGGTTCACTCACTTATGGAATTCGCCCATGCCAAGGAGGCGATTGGGTCTTGTGTGGTGCCGAGGTTTAGCTTGGCACTTTGGCCCTTAGGCTCTAGGAGTGACTTATGGTCCACTCAGCTCGGTAATTACAAGTAATATTGCCTTAGATTGACAATATTCCATGCCCGAGGTACCTGCTTCCCTTCTAGGGTTTCGAGCTCATACGTTCCTTCCCCAAGTACCCGCTTTACTCGGTAGGGTCCTTCCCAATTTGGCCCGAGCTTACCAACACCGGGCTCAGGTACCATGATTTTACGAAGGACCGGATCTCCGATGCGGAGGTTCTGCTTCTTGACCCTGGCGTTATAGTACCGAGCTACTCTCTGCTGGTAGGCCGCGGTCCTAATGTATGCAAGGTCCCGTACCTCGTCAAGCAGGTCAAGGTTGGTACGTAGCTCATCCTTATTTGCTTCGTCGTCGTATGCTTCCAGGCGTAGTGTTGGGACCTCGATCTCGGCTGGGATGATTGCCTCTGTCTCGTAAGTGAGGTTGAAGGGAGTCTCACCCGTCGCGGTCTTCACAGTGGTTCGATAAGCCCATAGTACGCTGGGTAGTTTGTCTACCCACAGTCCTTTAGCTCGGGCTAGGCGTGCCTTCAGTCCGCAGAGAATGGCTCTGTTTGTGACTTCCGCTTGACCGTTTGCTTGAGGGTGCGCCACTGAGGTGAAATTTTGTTGTATCCCCATGTCTTTACACCAGTTATGGAATTTGATGTCCTCGAATTGTTTACCGTTGTCAGAGATGAGCACTCGGGGTAGTCCGAAATGACAAACTATATTCTTCCAGAAGAAGTTCTGCACACTTCGCGCTATGATCGTTGCGAGAGGTTCGACCTCCACCCACTTAGTGAAATAATCAACTGCTACCACTAAAAACCTCATCTGTCCTATCACTGGTGGAAACGGTTCGAGTATATCGATTCCCCATTGTGCGAAGGGCCATGGATTGGTGAGGTACTTTAGGTCGGCAACGGGCTGGCGGAGGATGTTGGCGTGCTTCTGACACTTATCACACCTTTTGACAAACTCAATTGCATCTGCCTTCATCGTTGGCCAATAATATCCTTGTTGTAGTGCTTTCTGGGCGAGGGCCCTGCCTCCCATGTGTCCGCCGCACAGACCCTCATGAGTGTCGCGGAGCACGAGCTCGGCTTCAAAAGGTCGTAAGCAGCGCAGATAAGGGAGCGTGTAAGATCTTCGGTACAGTTGTCCATCTATTATGACGTATTTGGCTGCCTGGCGCTCTACCCTTCTGGCAGCATTACGATTCGTAGGGAGGGTCTCGTGTAGCAGGTGGCTCGCGAGTGGATCAATCCAGCTCGGCTCTGCTTGTACGACAGGAGCAACCTCCTCTGCCCCCCTGAGAATGCTAGGCCGAGGCAAGTTCTCTATGTACATGGTTCTCATGGTGTTGTCACTTGTGCTGGCTAATCGGGACAGGGCATCGGCCTCAGCGTTCTCAGATCTCGGGATCTGCTTGATGAAGTAGGACTGGAAGTTGAGCATAGCCTCTCTGACTTTGGCTAAGTGGCTCTGCTTCTAGCTGGTGACGGACGAGAGGCACCTGAGAGGAAGAAGATGAAGGATCACGAGGGGTTCACCCGGCGGGAACACTCCAACGATCAAGTTAGTAAACTGGGAGAGCAAAAGAGAGAGAGTGTAGAGAAATGAAAGGGCTAAGAGTGATGATCACGCAATACCTTCACCCCTAGGGGTCAAGGTCTTTATATATTGGTATTCTGACTTGTCAGGTGTAACCGCCTCCAAATCTCTATTGTGGCGATCTGCTGTCAAATAAGGGCTTAGAGTGGCTGGCCGTTATTTGTCAGAGCTGAGTTGTCGGGCAAAGGTGGCCGCTACAGAGTACGACCCTGACAGCCTCCAAGGTTGGCAGGCATGAAGCCGCCAGACGAGAGACGTGGGTGCAGTCTCCAGGTTTGGCAAGTACGGTTGTCAGGTAGAAAATCTTCTATGATATGCCGAACTGCTCTGTAGCGAGCTACCTTACACCGAGCTGCTGGTGATGCACCGAGGTGCTCCGAGGCGGGTCCCTGAGGTAGCCTTAGGCAGGAGCGAGCTTATGTTAGGGAGCTGACGAGCTTAACTCGAGGTGTTTCCAGTTCGGGATTCTCCCTACTTAGAGAATCTTAGCTCGGGGTGCTTCTTACTTGGGGAGTCTTAGCTCGGGGAAACGGAGTATCAACTTGTAGCGAGCTACTGCTTTGGGTGGGCTGTCAGACTGGGTCAGCGAGCTTCGTTATGCTGAATTGTCCCGAACTCATTAGGATGAGCTGTCACTTATGTCGAGTCACGTGCACGTGTCCCCTTATTATGTGGTCGGGCCAAATCACCCTCCATCAAATCTCTTTTCCAAAGTTGATTTATTTTTCAAATTTACCCTTCATATCAATCATTCAAAGGTAAAACTGCAACTTCAAACTCTCTTTTTTCATTATTGTTCATAAATTTTTATTATTTTTACTGTATAAACCAACCTCAATAATAATTGTATGGGTATTTTGGATATTTTCATATCTCTTGTTAAAGGATTTTAAAAAAATGAATCTACTTGCAATTATATCAGAAGGGAGGTAATTACAATTACCAAACTTAAGGGGAAGTTTCAGGAATGGTAAGAAACTTTAGGGCCGGCCAGGCGTTGGATATTAAATCACGTCACCGATATTATCATCATGAGAAGACTAAAATTTTCGGAATAATTAATGGAGACGTGGCTTTTCTCAGAAGTTTTTCTACAATAATCACCCTTCATCCACTATCCACTAGTGAGCCAACCAAAGGGGCGAGGGTGGGAGTGGACAGAAGAAGGAAGCTGATTGGCCAGCCCACACATAAATAGCCACCAACCATCCACAAAACAATGTCGAACCACTTTACTTATATAATAAATAATACACTTCATCATTCATACCGTTACTTTTCTTAGTTATCTCGTGGAAGTTATAGTGGTTGTGGGACCAATGGAAGGAACACTACTGAGACTTCAGTGGATTTCATCACAACATTTAGCTAGATTAACTTCTAAGGAAAGGCAACAGTGACACCACAAGTTGGGAAAGGCGACAGAGGAAAGGGTAAACCAACCAACAAAACCTTTTTTTTTTTTAATGGGGTTCATCGTTGGGTGAGGAAATAAAAAGCTTGATTAGTCACTGCTACTATCTTTGAACCCAAGTGGTTAATTCAAATTTCAAAGGTGAGTGTCGCAACCGGTGGCAGAGACGATAGTAAAGTGGATACAACAGCCAGAGCCACAAAGGATGGCCTGCTGGTGATATCAGATCCAACGACCTTCATCTTCTTGTGCGGGTCTTTTGAGGCTAGAAGAGGATCGCTGCCATGCCAACCATACCGGCCGTTTTGCTGTTTGTGGTGTGTTATGCAGAACTTCATCATATGGCCTCCTCCGATACAGACACGCAAGATGGTATGTGAGATCTTGGTCCTCAATCTTCTAAACGCAGTTAATTACTTGATGTTTTCTAATTTTCTAACACGGTAGATCTTAATTGAAACCAACCATTTCATTATATATTAATCTATCTATTATATTAAAACTCAAGCAGGTGACTTTTATTCATCTCAAATGAAAATAGACATGTAATTAATACTGATCTTGATTCTTACTTGCAGTGTAACTTAACCGCTGAACGTACGTAAAAGGATATTTGGTAGCATTGTGATTTTCTCTTAGACAACAGCCACGTATTAGAATTCAATAAATTAATTTTTGGGTTGTTTTATATATTTAAGTTATTTAGTGCTAGCTGGGCACCACCAAATATGTATGTATGTATATGCATGTAGAATTTAAGCCGAAATATCACTAAAAAATATAATTGCATGTCTGTAATTGGGTCGAATTTGGGTTAGGTTAGGGCCAAGCTAGGTTTAAACTAGAGCTAGAGTTACCTAGAGGCTAATTTTGAGTCCAACACAAAAAAAAAAAAAAAACTTGAACTAAATATTGGACGTAAGGCCTAGCCTTGATTGGGCATGTGGCCAAGCATGATCTTTCCAACCCAACCTTGAACTAAAAGTTGAAATATTTGGATTTGATCCAAGCTCGGGTTAAGCTTGGATTGGTTAATTGGTCTCAAAGGGGTCTATTAGGCTAAAAGCACTAAAAAGTTGCATGAAACTATTTATCATTACTAACTAAAATCTTTTAACAGGAATTTTGTATATGTGTCATACATGCATATTATCGACATAAAATTATATTCCATCTAAGCAAAACTAAAACAGAGTGTAATTTTACATCAATAATAATTATACTCTTTTACCAAATAGATATAAAAGCGAACCGATGTAAATTTTACATCGCCTTATTTTACAAATAATTGCAATGGGCGCGATTAATTAAGATGGGTGATTTCAAAAATTTTTGCGTTCCGAGCATGCCAAATGTTTCTTATAACAAGAGCGCCATATAGTAAACACCCACCGTCAATGGGATTGTGCTCTACATCCTCTTACACCACCAAAAATGGATAAAATCCTGCACATTCAAAAAATTAATTATATACTGTAGTTTTAAAATGAAGGTGAGAGCCAAACCATACTGCTTGTGCTGCCGGGCAAAGAAACAATACATGTACAAATGATTCCTCTGAATCATTACATAAGCATGATTTATGTAGTTGGGCATCTTTATCCTACAATTCATGCAAAATTCATAATTCTCAATCAGGTGTTTTACAGCCCTAATAAACTAGTTTTCCTATCACTCATAAAGTATCCTGATTTGTTTACAACCGAAAAATAACCCGGTATCGATGATGTAGAGACCAATTTTAAAGGCTGGTTGAATTTTCTTGTTAATTTATCCTTTTTAATACAAGAAAAGACACCTTTCACCATTGTTAATGTTATTTACTTTCACATTTAGTTCCACTAAGATGGACAACTCTGAGTACTTTTAGTCCTTTAATATATTGGTTAATTTATCTTTCCATCCAAAGCTTGGGCAATGACTACAGCAAACCACACGCGTGCGGATACATTCGGATTAAGACATTATTTCTTATTGAAATCCATTTGTATTTTTGTTTATTTAGCTGTTGTTGATGTGATTATCTTTATTATCTTTAACATTCCTTGGGCATGACATATCTTTTTGTTTTGAGCCCACGTTACCAGTAGGCCTCTCTCCTTCCCTTCCCTTAAATTTATCAATTTTGCGTCTTAGCAGTTGAGGCTTTGTTCATCTCTCTCTCTCTCTCGTTTTGTACATCTCTTCTAAAATAGTTCAAGAATGTGCCAAAGTTAGGTCCATGTGGTAGGGGTGCAAAATGGATGAGATAATGATCTGATTCGAATTTGAATATAATCCTATTTTTGTCAGATTTGGATATTTACTATTGAATTTTTGAATTGCACGATTGGATCAGATAAAAAAAATTGGATTAAATTCGAATTGCCTCTTATATATATATATGTGTGTGTATTTATGTCAAAAATAATTGAAAAGAATGCTTATATTTTTTGTTTTTCTTTATATAGAATGTTTTATTCCTTATTTTCCTGTTAATAATTTATTAAATTTTACAGACCTATGGATAATTAAATCGGGTTGAATCAGATTTGCATATCCAATATCTTTAACAAATTCAAATTTGAATTGATCTTTATCAATATATATATACCACATCAGATGGCCTTTGTGCTCCATTACCCAAATCGTGCAATTCTAGAGGGGGTGCAAGATTCCCTCTAGAAGCCTATGGAGTTGCCACCTAGCATGCCTTATCTCCCTTTTTCCTCTCCTTTTTATTAGGAAACTAAATATCCCCCACTTTCTCCTAAATTATCTCTAACTATTTCTAATTCCTATTTATATCATAATTATCTCTAATTTGTATTTATCTTCTCCCCCATTCTTCATCTATAACTATCCAAAAAAAAGTTTCAATTAAATAATAAAATATTTAACATAACTAAATTTTAAATAGTTAAAATAACAAATTATGAATAACATAAAAAAAAATTATCAAAAAAAAAATAATTATAATAGATTTAATAATATTTGATTATAAGAATACAAAATATAAATAATTTAAAAAATAACTAATTTTAAATGTTTTAAATAACAAAAAATTAATACTAAATCATATTTTAAATATTATTTAAAAAAACAAAAAATGGATTAAATAACAAAATTATGTAATAACTTTTAAAAAATTTATTAAAAACAAAAAATTAATTATAATAGATTTAATAATGTTCGATAATAAGAATAAAATCTAAATAATTGAAAAGAAAATTAAATATTATTAAAATAGTGAAAGTAGATTAAATAACTTAGAGGTATTGAAGCATTTTTTAGTTATTTATTGTATTTTCATTATAAATAGATTTTCAATAATTATGTATTTTTGCTATAAATTGTCAACAATTAGTGGAGATTGAACTATTTTTATTTGTTAGAGATTGGACTATTAATTTAGCTGAAATTAGAAGTATTCGCTAGGTGGTTCAATTCGGTTGTAGATTATTTAGCCAACCAAACTGATCTGGTCGGGTTGGGGAGTTGGTCACTTGAAATTGACCGACCATTAGTGAAAACCGACCAACTCGAGTTGGTCACTTGAAATTAACCGTCTAGGACGAACGGGTCAGATTGTTCCACATCAACACTTTATATATAAATGTGCATATATGTATATATGTGTGTGCAAATACATATTTTATTAATAAATATTGTATAATTATGTTTTACATATAATATATGTATTATTTTATATTTTTTAATTTAGTTTTTTATTTATAGAAAATGTTAAATTGTGATTTAAGGTGAAAAAAGGGGGTTTTTTTTGCAAAAATAGCGGGGCAAGGCACCAACGGGACCTTGGGACAAAGAGATATTGAAATGTTACCCAAAATAAAAAAAAAAATCACCTCAATTGAACATCGAAGTGCAAAGTTATGGCCTCTAAAAGTTTGCACATGTATTAAGTATGCAACCCACAACCCAATGACTGGGTCAAACAAGTCAACAGTTGAACCCTCTGAGTTAGGTGATTTTTTACCAAGTCAACGGTTTTGACCGAATGGCAGGTTTCAATAGAACTAGACCTAGAATCAAGTTCGGGTGATAGATTGAACAATTCAACCGGTTGAGTAAATATAAAATATTATGATTGAGTTGGTTCAATTTTGATTGATTTACAAATGGATAAACCGAAACTAACCCAATTTGATCAGATTGAGAAATTGTTGAATCGAAGCTGACCAAAAATACTAGAAAGTGACCAACTCAGGTCAGATTAGGTCAGTTTGGTCAGTTTCATCAGTTTGATGAACAATCCTGACTGAAGTTAATTATTGTTATTTTATATTACAAAAAAAATATTAAAAATAGTATTTAAAATATAAGTAATTATTAATTATTTAAAAATTAAATAATTGCCTACTCTAATGCATTTCTATTATTTAACTTTCGCTTAACAAAACTCGTACATCACACATGTTTCTGCTAGTCCTACCCAATGGCAATGCACCGCTTCCAAACCCCATATATAACTGAGACCAATATTCAGAATTATGGGCTTTTTTAATGCAAGATGCATATTGTATATAGCTTTTCAATGATATTATATAATAAAGCTGACTATGTACATAAAATGGTGTATTGGAACAGCTGTGGCACTACAATCTTTGAAGGAGCAATGGCAGAATACACCACCAAGCTGGGGAAAGTCAAATGACCCTTGTGGGGCACCATGGGAGGGAGTCACTTGCACCAATTCTAGGGTGACCGCATTGTAAGTCAATCTACATAATCATGTATCAACATTGTACTCTATCAAGCAGAGATCCCTTGCTGGCTTACTCATTTATTATTGCACCCATAAACCAAAGAATGCACAAGCAATTCAAACTTCATCTTTAGCTGCTCGTGTTTTCATTATGGTTTCCAATCTAATACAACCCTCAGGCTTGGAACTGGTATTGTAAAACAAGTTTATGCTATTATCGTTATATCATATCTGTTTGTAATTAATTTTTTGATAATAAAAATAAAAAAGAGAAGGTAATACAAGAGGGATTAGCCTAAGGAAAGAGGCCATCAACATGACCTATACAAGATTTAGGCCATGTTCAGGAGTGCTTAAAAATAAGTGTTTATTTAAAATAAGTGCTTATTTGGGCTGGAATTACACCATTAAGCATTTATTGGTGTTTCGGAAAAAAATCCGAAATAAAAAAATCACTTATTCATAAAAGTAATTTCATAAAAAATTAAATTAGTGCTTATACACCAATAAGTGCTTATTTTTCGTAAAAGTGCTTTCGTGTAAAAGTATTTTTCATAAAATTACTTTTATAAAAGTGATTTCACAAAATTGCCTTTGTAAGTACTTTCACACAAGTGTTTTTATAAAATTAATTTAATAAAAATACTTTCATAAGGGTATACTTTGAAAATTTGAAAGAAAATGAAAGACAAAATAGTTACAAATGCTTTTTTAAGTGCTTATTGGGGAAAAAGACTATCAAGCCCAATGTGAAATGAGAAATTTAAAATAATAAGCACTTGTTTTTAAACACTTATTACGGCCCAATCCTAAGCTCCCCATAAAAGCCTATACTTATATAATTTACATTAAAAGGCTGTATTTGGTTTATATAGATTTCCCTACCATTCCCTTCTTTTCCCTACTTTTTCTTTGAAACCAAACACAGCACAAGTTCCTCAAAAAACTTTTGCCGAACCCCATAAACATTATAACCAGAACACCAGAACCTCAACCCAAACATATCTTCCCTACCTAGCAAGACATACTCGAGCTGAGTTTCACCCTCAACCCCTTCTTCTACGTTGAATGCCTCTTCAACTTATACTCCCCACCAATTTGGACCACTTTGTCCACATAAGGATCAACAAATCTCCTCGATTTCCTGCTCCTAGGGAGCACACTATGACCATAAACCTCCTTAGCCAAATCATACCACGGAACCTTTGAACCCCTCTGCTTCAAGAGATTCAATTTTCAATTCTTTGTAATTAATAATAATTAACAATAGTAGTATTCATCGTAATTCTTTTCTCAATAGTGTTAAGGCTTTTGAAAAATAGTGGTGCAAGTTGGGTTGTTGCACTGAAGAATTTCAACTATGTAAGGGTCGGGCCCATTCAAAATTCAACAAATGCTCAACCTAACCAACCAGAGTAGTGAATCTTCTCAGTGTTGCAAGCACCAATGCACATTATACACCAAAAAGGAGAGCACATGTGCTGCTACTGTGCTTGCAGCCCCAGTGAAACACTGGCACAAAAGCAATTGATATAAAAAGTCAGTTCACAAGATATTTTGGATTTATTTCAACTTCTGGCGTGCTCATGTCTCATCGGGGTCACAAGGGAGCCCTGCGACCATTTTGAACTCCTAGGATAAGCCCATGGTCTAAATGATTTGTAATATGCAAGGCATTGAAACCTTGCATGACATGAAGCTCAAAGTAGGCTACGCTTCCTTTCTTTTTTGTTAAAGCAGTCGACTTTTCTGCATTTGACAAAAAATATTTTCTCCCATTTTTTATATTAAATAATAAATTTTATTGAGAAGGAATAAAGAGGGCGGAGAAGAAAGAATACAAGTGCCCCCCCACCAAAAAGGGAGTTGAAATCAGCCCCCCACAAGATAGTTTCCCACAAAGTCCCACAGCACATCCCGCCGTGTATTGGAAACATTTTCCGATAATGTCTCATTACTTTTGGTACTATCATCGAGGGATGTTCCCAATACACGGCGGGGATATACTATGGGATGTTGTGGGAAACTATCTTGTGTGGGGGCTGATTTTAACTCCCAAAAGGATGGCCCTTAAAAGCCAAAACATTAATTTCTCCCATCAAATTCACCTTTTCTTTTCTGCAGGAGATTATCGACAATGAACCTCAAAGGAACACTTAGTGGTGACATCGGCCAATTTACTGAACTGAGATCCTTGTGAGTTCCCTTCTCTCTTCATCCTAGCTAGGATGAGACTAAACCATAGGTATCATATTAGCAACAAAACTTAAGTACCATTGGCGGTTGCTATAACAAAGATAAATGGGGAAAGAGAACAAACAAAATATGAGAGAAAAAAAAGGTTTACACTCCGTGTCAATTACTTTTTTTTCTTTTTCCTGAAACCAATTTTTTTATTGAGTTCAAGTCTATATCCAGAATTCTTGAGACGAGACTCATGCCACGTTTATATCACAGGGACCTGTCATTCAACCGAGGTCTTACAGGTTCCCTTTCTCCACGAATAGGAGATCTGCAAAAGCTAAACATACTGTAAGATCCTACAAAGATAGTTTGGTTGCTTGGTTTGTCCATTTATGTGAGATATATACTCAGATTCATTGAAATTGGCTAACAAGTGTACATCTAGATTTATTTCACTGTATCGTTTCTCTTTTTATCTGTAAGGATCTTAGCTGGCTGCAGTTTCACTGGTAGTATCCCAAAAGAATTGGGCAATTTAGCACAGCTGTCTTTCTTGTAAGAACTGAGTCAATACTAAGAGTACTTCCTCTTCTATGAAATCAGTTGAATACCAGCAACTTAATTGGATTAATGTTCTTCAAGGGCTCTAAATTCAAACAATTTCACTGGTGGTATACCTCCCTCCTTAGGGACACTGTCAAAACTTTATTGGCTGGACCTAGCAGACAATCAATTGACTGGTGTAATCCCTGTCTCAACTGACAAATCCCCAGGACTTGACCTCCTCCTAAAGGCAAAGCACTTGTGAGTTGTTTTCTTTTTTTTTTTCAAAAATTATCAGTTCTTTTCATAACGTCTGTATGAAGAATATGCATATGCCTTGTACATATTCAATGCTCTATTCCAATTAAGTTTCCAAGTTTTGTGTGCTAGCCACTTCAACAAGAACAAGCTATCAGGCCCCATACCGCCCAAGCTTTTCAGTTCTGAAATGGTTTTGATACATGTGTAAGCTTATAAGCACCTATGAAACTATTATAATATTTGTTCCACTGGATACTAAGCTTTTCAGTTCTCAAGTGGTATTGATACTATGCATGCCTCTTGCCGGCAGATTATTTGATGGAAACCAGCTCAGTGGGACAATTCCAGAGACACTGGGACTTGTTCAAACTCTTGAGGTTCTGTGAGTGGCCTCTAACAGAATTTGTTTACAGCTAATCTTCTCTTAGCCATTTCTTCAGTTTTCCTAATAACCTATGTCCACATTTTTTTTTTCATTTTTCAACAGCCGGCTTGATAGGAACTTCCTTAGAGGGTCTGTTCCATCAAATCTCAACAATCTCACAAACATCAATGAATTGTAAGCGATCTTTTCTGGTCACCAATTAAGTCCTATTCCTAAAGCTACTTCCATCTCTCATTTCCTCTGTTTCCCTTTCAGGCATTTAGCACATAATCAACTGACAGGCCCAGTACCCGACCTAACAGGGATGGAATCTCTCAATTATGTGTAAGAATGCAGCGCAAAGCACAATAGTCTGCACTCTTAAAATATAAGCAAATTGGTATCTCAAAATTAAGTTTACTTTAATGTTGCCATGGTTAGACAGATTAACACTTTTCATGGTTTCATTTGCTAGGGACCTTAGCAACAACTCATTTGATCCATCAGAAGCTCCTTCCTGGTTTTCAACAATAAAATCTCTAACTACACTGTACTGTGAGCTAGTGTCATTTCTCGCCTGATATTAATAGCATAAAAGACCTTGAATCAATTGCTCAACATAGTGGATTTTCTTATGGGTGGCCAGGGTCATGGAATATGCGAAACTTGAAGGGACAGTGCCCCAAAAGCTCTTTAGCTTTCCACAATTACAGCAAGTGTAAGCCTTGGAATATGGAAAGAAGACCAAGAAAAATGAGTAAAATATAGTCAAAATAGAAAAATGAAATGATTATTTTTCTATTAACTCGACAATAGAAGCTTATTCATTGCAGATTTTTGACAGGAAATTAAGGAACAACTCATTAAATGGCACTTTGGACATGGGAGAGAGCATTAGCGAACAACTTCAGCTTGTTGATTTGCAAGATAATAGAATTTCCAGTGTGACGTTGGGCTCTGGATACACAAATACTCTAATGTCAGAACATGCAAGCATAGCTTACCTTACAATGAATATATTTCAAATTCACTTAGACTTCGTGCCCTCGTTATCTTGTATATTTCATTTGTTCCTAACTATATCATTTGTATTGCAGACTTATTGGAAATCCTGTGTGCACCGTTGCTCTCTCAAATACCAACTACTGCCAACTTCAGCAACAATCAGAAAAACCCTATTCCACTAGCCTTGCTAATTGTGGAACCAAATCTTGTCCCCCTGAACAGAGACTTAATCCTCAGAGTTGTGATTGCGCCTATCCTTATGAAGGAACATTATACTTCAGAGCACCTTCTTTCCGAGCATTGTCCAACGTCACTGTGTTCCAATCACTGGAAATGAGTCTATGGGTGAAACTTAGTCTAACTCCTGGGTCAGTTTCTCTTCAAAACCCCTTCTTTAACACGGATGACTATCTTCAGGTCCAATTGGAACTTTTTCCATCATACGGAAAGTATTTTAATCGGTCAGAGATACAGAGAATCGGGTTTGCTCTAAGTAATCAAACTTATAAGCCTCCTCATGAGTTTGGACCCTATTATTTCATTGCATCTCTTTATGTGTTTCCAGGTATCTTCATCCCAATTTTACTTATGAAGGAATTTGAGCGATACTCTCCTTAAGTGGGTTGATTAAATAAAGCGAAAATATATATACAGGTGGACATGGAGGAGCTTCATTAAGCACAAGTATAATTATCGGAATAGCAGTGTCTGGTGCTGTTCTGGTCCTCATTCTCATGGGGGTGGGACTCTATGCCATTTGGCAAAAGAAACGAGCAGAGAGAGCCATTGAATTAAGTAGACCTTTTGGTAATGCGCTACAGAAAATCATTAAGAAACTAGTGTTATATAAGAGGAACTCTAAAAATTGATAGCTTATTTCAACTGATGTTCTTTTTGTTCCAGCATCTTGGGCTCCAAGTGGTAAAGATAGCGGTGGTGCACCACAATTAAAAGGAGCTAGATGGTTTTCTTATGAAGAACTAAAAAAATGCACCAATGGTTTTGCGGAAAGCAATGAAATTGGATCCGGGGGATATGGAAAGGTGAGCCATTGGTTTCTTTGGAACTCGGTACCAATTACTAAAATCCTATTTTGACTAGGAACCATTCAAGTAACGTATCTCGAATGGCTTTAGGTTTATAGAGGAACATTCACAAGCGGACAACTGGTGGCGATCAAAAGAGCACAACAAGGATCCATGCAGGGAGGGGGTGAGTTCAGGAATGAAATCGAGTTGCTTTCACGGGTTCACCACAAGAACCTTTTGGGTCTCATCGGTTTTAGTTTTGAGCAAGGAGAACAGATATTGGTTTACGAATTTATGCCCAATGGAACACTAAGGGAGTGTTTGTCTGGTAAATTCTAGAACTCCCGCCAACCTCTTTCAGAACCATTTTAATTACTATCCATTTAGAAGTTTATCTGGCTGCTATTGTTACTTGCAGGGAGATCAGGCATTCACCTGGATTGGAAGAGGAGACTTCGTATTGCTCTAGGCTCAGCTAGGGGATTAGCTTATCTTCATGATCTTGCTAATCCTCCAATAATTCACAGGGACGTGAAGTCAAGTAATATTCTATTGGATGAAAATTTAACTGCAAAGGTTGCAGATTTTGGACTGTCAAAACTTGTATCAGACAGCACTAAGGAGCATATTTCCACTCAAGTTAAAGGCACATTGGTGAGTGCAGCAGCCTTTCATTTTTTAATCTTGAAAATTCTGTGTTACCTTGAGTTGTTACATCATTACTGTCATGGCATATTATAGTTTTTATTATTACAAAACTCTGATTACATCTGAATCAAATTTAATTTCCAAGTTCAATCTAATCAAATTTTAATGTTGTGCATGCACTCAAAAATGGATATAGCATATCAAATGCATTTATTAACCGAGCCCAAAGAATAGTTACACCAAATATCTTGAATCTCAATTTCAAATTGAATCATTCATTCTTTCACTCGTTAATCCATTCACTCATTGTCCTTTTTTAGGTAAAGGAATTCTTGTTCATTCATTCATAAATTTATTTCTTTGTTTAGGGTATACGTCAAGTAGTATCGTCCAGTTATGTCATTAATCATTTTTATTCCTACCTCATTGATCCTAGTTATGTCATTTTTAATTGAACTATTGTGGTCTATGATTTTCTTTTTCTTTTTTTAACCACTACATTTTTATCGTGATCTTATTGTAGGGTTATCTAGACCCTGAGTACTATATGACCCAACAACTGACACAGAAGAGTGACGTTTACAGCTTTGGTGTCGTAATGCTAGAAATAATAACTGCTAAGCAACCAATTGAGAAAGGTAAGTACATAGTGCGTGAAGTGAAGCTCGAAATTGACAAGAATGACGAACACTATGGATTGAAGGATTTAATAGATCCAAACATCGGAAGTGTAGCCAATCCCATATGTTTTGCAAATTTCGTGGAGTTGGCAATGCATTGTGTTGAAGAATCAGCTGTAGACCGCCCAACAATGAGTGACGTAGTGAAAGAGATTGAAAGCATATTACGAAATGATGGGTTGAATACAAACTCAACCTCAGCATCATCATCTGCTACAGACTTTGTATTTTCAAAGGGCACCATTCCCCGGCATCCTTATAATGAATATCTACCAAGAAAGGATGTAAGCAATAGCAATGCCTTTGACTACAGTGGTGGTTACACACTCTCAACTAAGGTTGAGCCCAAGTAGCTCATGTTGTTCATTTTCATTAGCCTTTGTTTGTTATTAATGTATGGTTATAGCATAGTTATATAGTTTTAGAATCACATGACAGATAATGGTATATATATGTAATTTTTCTCTCATGTGAGGTAAAACCTATTCTCCCATTCACAATGTCATAATGCCTTCGTCAAAGGTTCAATTGATAAACTCACCCATGAAAACCTTCCTCGCATCCAAATTTGGAGTCTGATATTTACTAGAAACAAGATGTGTAGTATGTGAACATATCCTGTTAACCATGGTGCAACCTAAGAGGGGGGTGAATTGGGTTTTATTTGATTTTTAATGCAAACCCTTCTCAATTTCTCATAAGATAATGTCCACTTGATGATAAGAATTATAAAGTACTACGCAAGCAACTAATATAAACTATATCTATGCAATTCAGGAGAAGAATGAGGTGTGCAATGTATGCAATTAAGTGCTTGTGATGTGAACATGTATTCAATATGGTATATATAATTAGCTAATGCACAATGATGAGCAACCACAGAGATAAATGCACGTGCTGAAAGTAAATAAGTGAGATAGTAAAGAGAGAAAGACAAAAACGATTTAGATTCGGCTTCTCATAGTCTACACGTTTTCCCTAAGAAACCCCATGGGAATTTAATCCAGGACTTACAGGTGCCAATAAAACCTTAACAATGAAGTAGACTTCACCACATCTCCACCCTTTCGAACTCGATGCAAGTGCCCCTACCCCCTCCCGGACTGAACATTAGTGCTAGTTGACAAGGTGCTAACTCACCCTCACAAACCTCTCTCATGTTTATGGGAAATAAATGAATCCTTTAAAGGATTAGATGATATAATGAAACTCACAAGAATTCCTTCTCAAGTAGATGAAAGAATTACAACTCAAACTAACTTAGACTCTAGCATTTCAAGTAGTGGCACCTCTCCTTTCTTATGTTGATTTCATGATTTCAACACTATGCACTTGCTTTCTTTTTCTCAAGATTTTACAGTCAAGCTCAAAGTATTTTTCTCAAAAGGTTATGAACATTTTGTTAAGGCCGACTTTTATAGGAAGAGAATGTTAGCCCTATATGTTCTGATGATAACAAACACATTGAGAGTACTAATGATCTGTGCTAATTGTGGAGCTATATCCATTGATCTAAAAATGCTAAAAAAATGCTACAAGTGGTAAAATCATGAATGAAGTGTTGGGAAACTGTCAATCACAATGGATCTCTCCAAAAGAAGATACAGGCTACCATGAGCTGAAAGAACATTTAAGTCCAAGTGGTCTAAAATATGTCATGTCATGTTATGGTTAGGGATTGATGTAAATCACAATCTTGAGATGCACATTAAGAGCTCAAACATGACCAAACTCGGTTAACTTGAACCTTAGAGACCACGGATTGGATTAGGTCTAGTTCTTAGGTGTTCCTAGACTTGAAAAAATGTTTAATCTCACTTTAGAAGACCAAGGTAATAAAGTATGGACCTTTGGAATAAATTTATGCAAGGTTCTAAGGTTATAGACAGTGATAAGTTGACTACTCATATTCATGAGTCAACTACCCTTGACATCCAAGGCTTGTATTTGTGAGAACACTATTCATGAGTTGACTACCTTGGACAACCAGAGCTATATTTATGTCGTCACTGTTCATAAGTCAACTACAGGTTTCTGATGAGTCGTACCTTTGATAGCCGAGAATTGGCATAAGTAGTTAGTTGACTAATAAGTGGGATTGGTTGACTACTAGAGAAAAAGATTCTCACCTAGGAGTGATAGTTGACCAATAGTGTATCAATCAATTACTTGTAACAAAGCTTGACCATTTGAATAATGAATATTTCCTATTTTAGTATAAATTCTATTCATTGGGAGCTTGATCTAAAACATTACAAAGATTGGTTTGAATCCTCCCCAACGTATGGATCGAAAGAAATACAAGAACTTAATTTGTGAAAAAATTACTAATAGTGAAAGCATTATTGTGAGCAAGAGTCTTTGAGAAAGAAGAGAAATCTTCTGCTAAATTAGTTAGAGTGAGAAAAAATGAGTAGCCATATTGGCTTATTTGTTTCTCATCGAGATTTGTGAATCTCTTCAAGTGTTTAGCTATTAGTTTTGTATAATCTCTTGCTTTAATTAGTTTGCCATGTATTTGTTGCTATCAACCTTAAGAGGAACATCATTGTTGGTAGGGATAGCACCAGGGAAGTCTATCTAGGTAATAGCAGGCACCTGGAAGTCCTACTAGTTTGTAAAGGTTTGGTTGGTGCTTGGGAAATCTAGTTGGTTTATTAGTAGAATTCTCAAGAGAGGCTAGAGAAGAGAATGTAGGTTGGGATTGTCCAAACATATACAAAAAAATATTTTTGTGCTTTACTTTTTTGCAAGTTTTGTTTTTCTTATTTGTTATTGTTTATTTGATTGCATTATATTCCACTACGTTCACATAGCATACACACAACGTTCACATTTATTATTCTTGCATTCATCTTGTTATAAGGCTTTAGGAAAAAGATTTCAAATACCCAATTCACCCCCTCTTTGGTTGGCTATGTGGGCAATAGAGAACACATAACCATTGATGCTATTTTGGTTTTTCATACCTTTTTGGTTAACTACTTGTTTCAAGATAAAAATCCAAGATAGCATTTGGGTGTCTCTCTGACACATATAACTGTTGGAGTGTATTTGGCCTTTTTATCTCTTTTTGGACAACTACTTATTTCAAGATAAAAAGCCAAGACAGCCTTTGAGTGTCTCCCTAATCTTTCTACTTTCAAGTTAACTTTTTTTATATCAGTGTATTTTCAAGTTAACTTTTGAAGGTTACTTTTTTTTTTTTTTGCTCACAGATTCTTTGTGGAAAGTTAATCGAACTAGTTGATTGACAAGGTAAGCTCATTGAGTATTGTGCTGGTAAGACACATTTAATGCTTGATGTACCAACCTTGTAAAAGCATTAAATGCTCATCTGTCCATTTTAGGTAGCCCTATAAAGGTAATAGATGCTAAGTATAACTAGTCACACACATGTCAAGTCGAGGGGGTGTTATCTCTTGCTCACCATGAGATGTCTCCTCCCACTTGTGCATACAAGGGATGTTTCATGCTTGTTGTGGGACACCTCCTATTCTGGCACTGTTACCATGGGATGTCTCTTAGATTTTGGAAAATGTTCCTTGGACTAGGGCAGTTACCAAGAGATGTCTCCTACGTTGTATAGCTAGACTTAACCTTTTTGCACCACCCTAAGATGGTTCAACTGAGTTTTTAAACCAAACCAAATGATTTTTAAGCCTAATTGGAATGTTAAATAGTGAATATACATTCAAGGGTTAAGAAGTAAATTCACAGCTAAATGTGCATAAGCAAGACTAGTCACAAAGTGAGATTGAGACAAGCATTATAAAAAAAAAAAGTGAGATTGAGACGTCGTAGCGATTTCAGTAAAATGAGAGGATAGTCATGCAAGAAAATATTTACGACAAAGTGAGGCTGCCTTGTAGAATGGGACACCGTGTAGCTAAGAAAGAGAGAGAGAGAGTGCAAGCCTCATCCAACATAAAGCAGGATTTACCAATTTGTCAATCTCATGGAGGCACTTGACCTCGCGAAAATATCAACCTTACAAAGGCACTTGACATCATGAAGTCATCACAGAGGTACTTGACCTCGTGAGGCCATCACAGATGCATGAGGACAAAATAGAATTTAAAGACCAGTAATCCATTCCAATGACCTAGTAATACCCTTTTGACCTCATGATAATCAATGACCCGAGAACTTGACCTCATGAACCAATCTGACTTCATGAGGCTAGAATAGAAATTTGGCATTAGATATTCTACTCTGAGATTGTTAGACACATGATTGTCGGCTCATTGGAACCATGTCCGGTTGTACATGTTAGATAGTGTATATGCCCTCAACTCTAACTGGTGTATTGTACATACTTTTGTTATAAATAAAAGAATATTTATTTCATCTATCATTGTGTTATTCTGATAAATCCCCTTCATATTAGTATTATGTATGAGACCACATAGTTGTCATAATATGGACTTAAATCATCAACCAGTAGATACACTTGGGGAAGCCTATCTTGACAAGGTTGTCATTCTCACACTGTTCAAGGTAGTGCAGATCTCAGCTACCTGGGTTGTGACCTAAGGTGTGAGGACGAGTGTTTACAAGAAACATTGAACTAGACCAAACCTAAAATACTCCTAGACTTTCTAACAGGTGGAACAATTGGGTGTTGTTAATCCCTAGACTTGATATTGATATCAGATCGAGTATCAAAACTTGTCTCTCTTTGGTATGTCAACCAATGAGATACTTCTACGGTCAAATTCCTGGGTATGTTGGAATATTCAAAGATGGTATGCCAACTAATGATCAATGTGATAAGATCTGCTACTATGTTAAGACATATAAAACACTTTGTACAACTTTCTTTTTGGATTCCTGAATTTTCCATCGGTAGAGAACACTGATGTGGGCCCCACAGCTGTGGTCCCCACTGTGTTCGTAGGACAGTATGTGTAATTATTTGTTTCAGTCATGTTAGTGTTAGTTGGTGGTCGGTTTGTTATTTCAGTTGTTATTTATTTGCTTTATTTGTCATGTAAGTACTAAGGGCAGATCTGTGCTTTTCCCCTATGTACTGAACATAACCTATAAATACTGAGTGGCGGTGGCAGGTAAATTAGAATCTGTCCCTTCTTTCAAACCTTTGTGTTCTCCAGTTCTTCTCCTCTCTTTTCTTTCTTTCTCTTACTTTTCTTCTACCTTTCCTAATCTGAAATCTATTAGGGTTCAAGGCTGATTGTAGTCTTGATCGCCTACTTGGTATCAGAGCCTATCTAGGGTTTCTCATGTGAGTCTAGTCCAGCCGACCACATGGGAACGATCTAGGGCTAGAAGTTTATGAAGAAGTGTTCGTTGGCTGATTCTTGGAGGTTACCAGAAGAGTTTAGCAGCTGTTGAAGACTTGCCACGGCTTGCAGAATGTTGGTAATCAGGAAGAATCAGAGAAGGCTAGGGTTCAGGCAACCTTGGAAGGTAGCGAACAGCATTCTCTGGGTAAGTCCTATTTATTTT